TATTCCGCTCCGCGCTTACACTGTGAACCCTCCGAATGGAAGCAATTGGATAGAGCTCGAATACTTTTTTCAACAAATACGGGACCGGCAATTTAACGAAGAACGGTGCGGGGAAGTACAACTGGCGGGATTTATTTTGCTTTAATTTGATGGCGGGGATCAAAAAATGTGCTGCTGTAGCTGGTTCTTTTGACGGAAAGTTTGTGGATAGGATACCCGATTTGCATTTGTGGTTTGTTTTGTCTTTACCTTCTTTCTTACTTTGCTATAACGAGATACCAGTACCGGTATTGTGGGAGTGTTTTCTTTCTTGCTTTACTGTATTGAGATACCAGTGGAACGGGTGTGTTTTTCTTTCTTGCTTTCTTTTCAGAAATTTTTTTTTTTTTTTTTTTTTCAATTGGGGGACGAAAAGTATAGTTATTCGAGATTTAAACAGTCTTGCAGTTTTACACTAGTTGGTAATAGGCTGTGAGAGCGCAAATGAAGAGCTACTGGTGGATCTTTTAGTTGGTCTTTTTCCTTAGAGAGTTTTGTCTTGCTTTTTTTTTTCTCTTTCCTTTCCTCTTACTTAGAAATCTTAGCATACTTAGATAACAATACCTGAATGAAAGCTCTTTTGCAAAAATACGTGAAAGATACGCACCGCCGTGATTTTATAAACATTAATGAAAGCATAGTGCAAGTACTGATAGTACAGAGAACATTTCAACTTATCCGAGTAAGGAGAAATAGCTAATAGCGTTCCCACAAACCGATAGACGTACAGTACAGTACACTGAAGTTTCCCCGTACCAGATCGATATCTCCTCTCACAAACCGCTGAGAACCTTTTTATTGGAGCTATTCAAGCAGGGCCTGGACCCATATATACAACCATTAAAAAAATCAGTTTTCGCTAATCCACTATCGAGTATTTTTGCATGACTCTGGAAGCAGGTCTTAAGTGTTGAACAATTATGTAGGAAGGAGGGAAGGAAGGAAGTTGAAAGATTTCTTTGCGTTTGTGGAAAGCTTTACTGATAGTTCGAGTTCTAGCATGTAAGTAATACGAACTTGGATAAATGTGTTTGAATACCGTACTTCATAAATTTCCGAGTAGTGTGTAGGTCTTGTTTGACTTGGAAATTGAGTTTTTTTTTTTTTTTTTTTGTTATAGTTTCTATCTGTAATAAGATACCGATATGAACAATCCTACTATATAGTATTACAAGTAGACATAAATGTGAATTGCAGTAGTCAAAACCCACCCACCCCCTTTAAGTAATCAACCCTTTAGTGTTAATAATCCTATAATATGAGATTGGTTTTGTTAGAACCTATACATTGGCCTCTGACAATAAATAATTTATTTTGGTATAGCGAGA